ACCACTCAGGATAAGAAATACTCTAACAAAGCGGAGCACTGAATAGGGGCTGCTTAATTTTTCTGGCAAAGACAGGTCATGCTACTATTAGGACATCAGTTACTGTGTCCATGCATTTCTCTTTGTACAATATCTAACCCAGAGCTAATGTACAATTAGGAACTTTAACCATTCCTTATTGATGATGATAATAATAACCTTCACATCAAAACCTTATGAAAGAACATAGGGATGGATAAGATAGAAATATGATGCTGTGAGTTAGCTGTTATACCTAGAAAATATATACAGTAGAAATGGTTAAGAAATGCTCTCTTAAATAATAAATCTGGAATGCAGTATGACAGAGGACAAGACGGCTACTAGCAATGTGAAATCTCAACTTTTTTCTTACAGAACCCTTTTTGTTTGGATCAGCAAATACACAGCTAACAAATTAGATTTGCCTGCCTCCCTTGCAGCTAGGAATAGCCAAGCTATGCAGTGCTGGCAAACAAGCTGTAGCTGGAATATGTCAGGGAACTTCAAGAAAGATTTACTTTCCTGATATGAACCCAGTCTCATCCTCTGTGTTGCTTCTGTGTCTCCTTCCTGCTTAGAACATGAGGAGGAGATGGCATCCCTATGTGTGAAAGCTACAAGCTAAGAACAACTGAGCAAAACTACAGATGGAGCCTTGGGCATTGGTGGCATTGTGGCATTCTTGTGCCTGTCTCAGACTTTGTGTGGTGTGGGAGAAGAATAAACTTTTATTTGTTAAGTTACTACAGTCAGGTTTATGTTGCATGCAGTCAAACTGCCCCCGATTGGTATGTGTGTTTTGGTGCAGTGACAATAGGCTCCCTTGGCTATACAAGCCTCGGAATCCTTAGCTCTAAAATGAAGTAATAATATTTGTTTTTACGAGGGGTTATAGATAATGTACAAAAAATGCCTAGTACAGAGCCTGGTGTGCAGTTGGTACTCAATAAATGTCAGAAATTGCAATTCTCATTTCTGGCAAGCTGTTCATGCCCATGAGATCATCCTGTATAATTCTAAGGTGAAAATGGAAAACAAAGTTAAATGAGATACTAATTGAGCACTGCTCTGTGCACACCATTCTGCCAGGCAGGCTGAGAAACACAGCAGACTGACACAACCACAGTATCTTGAGATTTTTGACTAAACAATGAAATTCTGTAATATAGTTGAGCAATAAGATTTAACTTAAAATCCAGTTAGCATCAGATTTATAAAAACCCATGTGTCTACAAATTGTGTTATAGAAACCAACAACAAAACCATCTTTGGTAGCTCTGTTTACTTCGTAAAGTATTTTCACATCTATAGCTTTATTCTAGTTTCACAGCAGCCTCTGTAGGCCTGACAGATGACCTGGCTCAGGTAGCAACACTGGGACAAGAAGCCAATGCTCCTCCCACCCTTGGCTTATCTGGTCCTTCTCAAAGACTTAGAGCCTCCCATTTGGGCACACAGCACACCAGCTGGTCTGCACTGCAGAATCTCAGACCAGGGGGGTGTCTCAGACCAGACAGAGTGAAGGGGAAGAAGGCACCCCAATCTGCTGGGCCTTCTACATGCATTATCTCATGACAATCGTTGCTATATAATAGCCCTATCTTGCCCTTTTGTTAGCCTTGGAATGATTAAACAACGTTGCCAAGATTACACAACTTAGAATTGCAATCCAGAGAAGACTTGGACCTAGGGGTGTTTGCTCCTGAGTCCTTTCATTGTCTGAGGTGAAGGTTCCAGCAGTGTGCTGCGCTGACAATGCACAGGAGTGCAGGATGACAGTGTGACTAAATACATGGGAGGCTTGGGTGGTCCTGGCACTGGAGAGGCCGTGGGCTCTTGAGCAGTGTTTTTCAGTCCTTTGTTTTTAATGTTTCATATACCTCCAATTTTTGTGGTCCAATAAATGCCCTGACATTCTCCCCATGTATGCTTTATTTACATCTAAAAAACTATATTGGAAAGAATGGAGTCTGCATTTGTCTCTGTATATATTCATGCCTGGTTTGAATGCTGAATCATCAATATGGTGCAATATAGGAGGACAGGTATTAGAACCAGCAGTCCTGGGTTTAAATTTCTCTTTTCCACTCCACATTTCTCAGCAACAAGCAAATAAAGCACAGATCACTAGCTGCCAGTATGCACTTCTCCAGCCTGTAGAAGACCCCACAATGGCAGCCCGCTCACAAGCTTTTCCTACTAAGTAAGCCACAGTCCCTTTTATCTATAGACAACAAAAGTTACACAAATCCCCATGGGTGTGTTTCTTGAATAAAACACATCCATTAGGCACTTGCCAGAGAGAGTTCCAATGAGTCACTGGAAGAAACCGACAAGTCAAGGAACTTAAAGCAGGTAAACATCAACAACTGGTTTAAAACTATATTTAGAATGTCATGGAGAGCTTTGCCTTAATTTTAGATGTTATCTTGGAAACGTCAAAAGATGGGCCATTTATTTTCTCCCTTACTCTAAAAAAGAAGTCTTTCAAAATTGTTTTTCAAAGTTCCACGATCAGAAAAAATAAGGCACAACAGTTATTTGCTCCCACACATTTGGCCAAGCGTAGCTGATAAGAAGGTAATTGATGCCAAGTTTCAAAACAAATATGTACTTGAAATTCTGGATGGAGGTGTTTAGTGTTTCCACAGCATAAATATTATTTTCTTGCAGAATGTCCCTATAATGTTCAGTGTGAAGATGTGATGACTGCAACAAATTTAATAGAGACAAATGCAATAGGAAAAGTCATTCCTATCCTGGACCTTAACACAGTGTGAAAAGTGTCAAATTTAATAATGACACAGTCTCCACAAAGAAATCAGGATAATCATTGAATATTATTTCTCAATCTCACCACTATTCCTGGGACCACTAAAGCACTAAAGCACTAAAAAGCATTACAAGCTCAAAGGAGGAAATTTAGTCAATATTCTCACTTATGAGGACATTTGTACATATCTGGCTGAAAACGGGCTCTTGCTAAGCTAAATCTGCAGGTTTTTGTTTGTTTGTTTTTTTAGTTTCAGGTGTACAAAGCAACCTAATAGTTAGACATTTACACCCCTTCCAAAGTGATAACCCCCGCAATCTACTACCCTCTGACATCGTTATTGTTGTTACAATACCATTGACTATATTACCTATGCTGTACTTTACAACACGTGACTATACATACTTATTGCAACGATGTTGCTAACCCTTTTTTGATATCAGAGGGATTGTTCATTATGAATTTGTACCAACTGGACAAATAGCTAACCAAGTTTACTATTTGGAAGTGCTGAAAAGGCTACATGAAAAAGTTAGATGACTTGAACTTCTCACCTATAATTCATGGCTCTTACATCATGACAATGCACCAGCTCACAGGGTACTGTCTGTGAAGGAGTTTTTAGCCAGTAAACAAATAACTGTATTGGAACACCCTCCCTACTCACCTGGTCTGGTCCCCAACGACTTCTTTCTTTACCCAAAGATAAAGGAAATATTGAAAGGAAGACATTTTGATGACATTCAGGACATCAAGGATGATACGCCAGCTCTGATGGCCATTCCAGAAAAAGAGTTCCAAAATTGCTTTGAAGGGTGGAATAGGTGCTGGCATTGGTGCATAGCTTCCCAAGGGGAGTACTTTGAAGGTGACCATAGTGATATTTAGAAATGAGGTATGTAGCACTTTTTCTAGGATGAGTTCGAGAACTTAATTGTCTGGCCTTGTGTGTGTGTGTGTGTGTGTGTGTGTGTGTGTGTGTGTGTGTGTGTGTGTGTATACAGAGGGGTCCAAAAAATGTATACAAATTTTAAGAAAAAAAAACTGTATTAAAATTGTAATACTCCATAAATACCGATAACAAAAGATGAATACAAGTCACTTTGGATTTCTGCAGTTACAATAGGTGCTCAAAATGGTTACCATCAGCGTAATTTTAATACAGTTTTTTTCCTTTCTTAAAATGTATATACATTTTTTTGGCATCCTCTGTAAGTTGATATAGATATAGATATTTAATTATACTTGACATTCAATATTATTCTACTAAATCTGCAGTTCTCTATGTGCAAAGTACCCCAGAAAGCTTTCATGCTCTGAATTTAGCATCTCTCGGCAGGGAAAGCTTTCCCACCCTTTGACAAGGACTCCAGGCCATCACTGTTCCCCCTCCTTCTTTTCAGCAACATCACTCAATTACCTGTTTTCAAATCAGATAAAACAGAAGCAACATTTCTGGATCTGGGCCAGGATGATAGATTTCTACATTGAAGCTATGGAGAAATCACCATGTTTAGTCACAGGAGACTCTCCATTTTAAAGAATGTTAGGCAAAGAAAGATCTATATTGGGAGCCTTACCAGCCATGGAGAATGTCACACAAGTAATTAAGGAACTACATACTGATTTAGGCAATAAACATTGCATTTTGAGGGTTATTGTGGATTTTTGGAAAAGAATCAAAGACTAGGCCTGTGGACATGTGTGTGTATAAGTGTATGTGTATGCATGCGTGTGCGTGTTTGGTTTTTTGTAAAGCTCTTGGGGTTAAACTGGAATTTAAACTGTACTTGCACTGACTGCGCCAGATCCATTTGAAGTCCCTTGGGAGAAAATCAGGGCCCATTTTGTACAGAAAGCACACTATAAATGTAAGAGAGGATTACTTGGCCTGGGGCAAGTTCTTATACAAACATATTCTCACTTCACTTTTTCGGTGGAAGTTTCTACCCAGCCTGCATTCAATCCCAAACTCAACAGAAACTGCTTATCAGATATGTTTTTAGTTTCCATAGGTATATATTTTTTCGCTTAGAAACATCCCATGGAGAATGTCTTTTCCCAGTTTCACTGCAGGAATCAGAAGAGAATAAATGAGGAGGAAGAAGGATGGAGATAAGGTGGACTAGACCTTTCTAGACCCCCAAACGGTCAGGCACTGGCCAGCATTGTGGACCCTGCTTCCAGTGGCCCTGGGGATACTCACCATGGTCATGAGCGAACACCAGCAGTTCCAGCCCCACCAGCATCTTAGCCAGCTCATCATAGCGACCGCAGTGCTCCCCAGCTCCATGGGACACAAAAACAAGGGCCCTGCAGGGGTTAGAGGGGTGTCGGGTTAGAAAGGCAGCAGACCACTGCGGCTCCAGCTTGAGCAGTCTGGAGCTTTCATGACATCAGCAACGAGCCAAAGCCTAGATTGCAGACTAAATGCATCAGTAAGTAAGAGGGGATTGCTGTTAGAATGCTGGGCTTCAGGGTCCCACAGAATGGAGCCCCAATCCTGGCTCTCCTGTGAACTCTCAGGCAAAGTACCCATCTCCAAAGCTTCATTTCTTCACTTGTAAAACAGTAATAATAACAGTCTCTTCCTCTGGAGAGGGGTTGTAAGGGTCCCAGGTGCTAATTTGTGCTAACATATTCCAGGCAGAGCCCTGGCACATGGCAGGCCCCCTTATAGGTGGGTGCTGGTTTTCTTCCTAGCCAGCTGCTTAGGTGGCCCAGCCCTGAGCCAATCAGAGTACTCTGTGATCAGACACAGTAACTGGCTCAGGTACAGGCATGTGACTCAAGCCAAGCTGACCAGGTCCAATCAGAGCTGACCCTAGAGTTTTGGCTCAGGTGGTCAGGAGAAGGCATTTTCAGTTTCCCACTAGACTGAAGCCTCAGAGGCTGTGGAGCTACAATGACCCCAGTTGTTTGGAGAAAATTGAAATACGAAGTATGACAATTAAGTTCGCGAACTAGTCACCGTGCACATACATTGGCAGCACTGTACAAACAGCTCGGTAAGGTTTCATAACCTTGGTATATCAGTGTCTCACAGCTGTATTCTTGTCGAAGTGTGGCAGTGTCCTACTGAGTGGCGTTCATTATTATTATTGTGTGTTTTTGTGTGCCGTCATGAGAATGTCTGAGCTTGAATTAGAGCAACGAACAAACATTAAATTTCTTGTTCAACTTGGCAAGAGTGGAAATAAAATCAGAGATATGTTAGTCCAAGTTTATGGGGAGAATGCCATGAAGACAACAGCAGTGTACAAATGAATTAAACATTTTTCTGAGGGGAGAGAACGCATCATTAATGAAGAGAGGTCAGGGTGGTCAGTAACAAAGCAAAACTGACGAAAACATTGCAAAACTTCATTATATTGTGTGTCAAAGTCGTCAGCTGACTGTGAGAAGCATGGCAAAGTAAATATCGATAGATAAACAGTTAGGAAAATCCTAACTGAAAGTCTTGGCATGAGAAAGGTGTGTGCAAAAATGGTCCTGAAGGAGCTCACCAATGAACAAAAGCAAAGGAGAGTTGACGTTTACCAAGACCTTTTGGAGAGGCAAGATGATGTTTTGGGCCGCGTTATCACTGGTGATGAAACATGGGTGTACCAATATGACCCTGAAACAAAGCGTCAAAGTGCACAATGGAAGTCAGCCAATTCTCCACGACCAAAAAAGTTCTGTCAGTCCAAATCAAGAGACAAAACAATGTTGCTAAGCTTTTTTGATATCAGAGGGATTATTCATTATGAATTTGTACCAACTG